ACGTCTATGGTAATGGCTTGATCGTTAGTCGTGTTGGGGTCAATTCGACATTGATGTTTTCAGTTTGCAGGAGATTTGCTCGACTGCTTATATTGATTATTTGCATGCATTATTGTGTCGCTAAACCATCAATTAGACTGACAAGGTTTTGAGATATTCACTGAATGAGCAACTGATAGAGAAACATACTGTAATCATCTGTAGTGAATGAAGATAAAAGAAAAACAACACTAGTGATAATTATAAGTCGATTTGATGACCGGTTATGTTAATAGTTTCATTAATATTATCAATCATATTACGTGATTGTCAAGTCATGACAATGCTTTATGACGATATCCTGAAACTATTATGTTAAACTAGTTATAGTGTTGATTGAGGATTAGCCACTGGAAAAATAGGTATTTTTGCTTTAGGTGATTCAAAATTATCAGAAATTTGTAGTGTTACAGAATCCGAGACGCCTAATTATATTATAATTTTCAATTCAGAAATATTCGTTTAATGGGAATTTTAGTAGGTTACGGAGTTTTGATTTTAAACTTTTGTTTAGTCAACAGCTACCTGGGGATGTAGTTATTTGACTAGTGCCGTTGATAGTACCTAAATTTTTAATCTTATTATCTAAACTATGTTCGCATTTTAGGCTGCTAATATGATAAATCAATCCATAAACCCAAATAAGATTAGCAACAACGACTATGATGGGTTTATTGATAAATGTTAAAGGCGATTCAGATTATTTCTAAATTTAGAAGACATGAAGATATAGTGTAACGTATGTACGAGCCATGTTAACATGCAGGTTGTTGACGTATATGACAATTTAAAAATAATGAACATGAACAAAAAATAATTTTAAAGTTAAGACTGCTTATGAAACTTCAGGCAGGTATATGACGCGTTATAAACATTACATAAGAAGTTAGTTCACTTAGCCTAGGGTCACTTACAAATATGTGGCAAAAGCAACTGGAAAACATATACATGTTAAGTACAAAAAAATCATCCAGTAAAATAGTTGAACTCGCCTGGATTATTTTTGAAAATTAGATTATTCAGTGGACAACATATATAACGCCATTCGTGAGTAGTAATGATCCAAAAGCATCCAGATTAAAACATGCAATATGGCAATCACTTCCAGGGTGCTTGATGCTGTTGAGGTTTTTGGGACTCGCTCTGATCAGAACAACTGAATGAATCCAGATAATTATGTGTGCCATTGAATGAGCCATCTAAAATGAACTTATGATTGCAGAAAACTTATAGCCAGAACTCACCGTATTTTTTGGAGAAGCGTCATCCTTGTTGTTTGGCAATGGAACTCGAGAATATGAAATTACGCATGCAGTGGTCGGAAGAAAAGATATTACAGGATAGTGCATAGTTTAAAACAAGATGAGGTGTTAAGCGAAGGAACGCTAAGAATTAGATTCAGATAACTATTCAATCCTTGATTGCATTGTTAGTCAATGTATATTTACGCTATTTACAGGTCATATTTGCTAGAGCTTGATGTTTAAACAAGTCTATGTCGCTGAAGCATGTAAATGCTATTAAAGCTTGTTAACGAACCATCAAAGCTAATTAGTTAATATAGACGACCAGTTTTTATTATCGATTGAGCTAGTATGTCATGAGAACTAATCAATATAACATCACGATAATACATTTGAGCATTAATCAGGACTGTTAGAATATTGGGTTAACATTAATACAAAATAGATCAAGAAATTTAGAATGGAAGTAAGATTAACAATATTAGGTTGCGTTTCTCTAGTCGGGCTTACCAATGTAGAATTACGGTCTACTATGATATTAGTACTGCTCTAATAATAGACCTAATCCTAAATTTGTAGATTTGTCATGATATAACTGCCTAATCTATAAGATCTTACGTGGAAGTCACACCATCGACTACACCAACTCACTGTATCGTATCAATTACCAATACATGACGTAGAACAAGGTTAGGCTAGAGAAAGAACAATATATTTAATATGAATAGAAGATATAAGGTAACATTCAGCAGAGACCACGCCTGCATGGTCGAGCCATGCCATCCGATCAACTCCAGTCCATCCAATTCATCTTCGCGCTTTTTCCATTGTTAGGTATTTCCCCGAGTTAAATATTGAATATCTATTTTCTGAGTAGTCTCGTGTTCACAGCTTTGTGGATTGTGTGGCTATTGTCCAATGCCACTACACTACTCTCCCACCAGAATCAACGTGATGTTGGTTCGATACCAAATTGGATGGGATCGTCGCGCGCCGGAGGTTACCAAGGATAATAAGGATCCTCCGGGTATTGATAAGCTGAAAGACAAATCAAAAAGAAGGAGGCAGCATCTGGTCGGGAAATACATGTAATAATTTTAAAAAAATCTGCCTTCATGCTTAACAAGCTTAAAATAACAATTTGGGTAAAGATTATTTGAGCTATAAAAAATGGGATTACAGTAATAATGATAAAACAATGCGTGTTAATAGCCGTTGGTTAATAACTTGACGTATAGGTAGTAAGTATTTTGTGTTTAGAAATATTAAAGTAATGAATATTGTAAAAATGTTAATATTGGTATTAGTTTTGGTTTAAATTATGAAATCAATTTACAATTATGCCGGTAACCTGTCCATATATGATTTCCAATTGCATCTGTATTAGTAGGCTAACTGAAAGAACAAAAGTACTAACGTGGAGAAGAATTCCAACTAGTGTTCCTGTTAGTTTGATACGGTTTATTTAGTTACGGGGAGATTTTCTCAACCTCATTTTTACTTGACCGTGATAGAATTTAGTAATACTACTAATATACATGAATGGTTATCAAAACAAAATTTAAATACGTGAGTGATAATTATATGAATTTTGGACATATAGCTAGGAACAAATCGTTAAACATGAGTGTATTCGTAAGAGACATGCTCTAGACTCAATGTTCTGATTTGTGGCAGACTATTTTTATATTTATACTTGCCGGCTGATTGGGCATACAAGTTAGTTGCAAGTATGCAGTTTATCATAAGGTGGAATACGATTTAATTGAGATATAGTGGTTATAAGTTATTAAAATCATCGTGAGGGTGAACATATTAGGTACCAGTTGAGATCATACCGTCAGAAAACGCATATTTGCGAGTGGTGAAATACGATCTATTAAAAAGTGAGCTTAATAACAGTTAATTACCTTTTTACTCCCTGATCATGACCCTTCGGCTTCCTTTTATGGCCAAAACAGCAAACATACACAAGACACTGGTAGCAGATTTCCGGCTTTTCAATGTTAAGCTTGCTTTAACGCACTGAGTAATGGGTACAACCCCTCTGTTACTGTTATGTGGCATATTTTTCATAACAAACCCTCTGCAATAGATTGGTAGCATCTGTGACTTCACCTATAGTTGTCGGAAGTCTGGGTCCTTTCGAAATCAGTACCGATATACCCTACTGCTGGTCACTCTGTATAAGTTTGACTCGTTGATGGGATAGTGTTGTCCATAATACTGAAGAAAATTAAAAAAACGCAGATTGTTTCCTTTCATTTTGCCGATAACATCCTAAAGGACAGTTAAGAACGAACATGCGAACAGTTGGAGTCACAGGCGACAGCAACAATTATCTTAGCTAAATAAAAACGAAATTCGGCTTCGGGTATCTAGAAAACAAGGTAAAACATAACCGATTGTCGTTTAAAAACGTAAGGTCTTATGTTAGTACTAGCCAGCTTAGCTGAATAAATACAGTGACTTCATTAGCAGCAGGTAAAACCCAGAAAACAAAGTAAAATTAGGGAAAATTTTGCTTCAACGTTCAGAGTATTACACTAACTTCTGAATTTTACCACACTGAAACATTAAATTCTGTAGCTACACAAAAGAAATGGCGGAAAAAACACAGAACGAAGAAAGCCGGCCGACATTTCATAACACAAGACTAGCCAGATTGCCCGAAGAAACACATTGACTTGAGTAGAAGCAGCAAAAACCCAGAAAACATCGCTGATTCGAAATAAACTTCACACCAACATATAGAACATTACACTAACTGCGGCACTTTAGCACACTGAGACATTTAATTACATAGCTACACAAAAGAAATAACTGAAAGAAGCACAGAACGAAGAAAGCTGACCGCCATTGCTTACAAAGATGGCGCATGCAATAATTCCCGCCTGATTCTGTTTGGTTGCTAAGCTTAAGGGCACATTTACGAAATTGAGTTGCGTTTAATTGCAGCCGATTATATTGATTACTGACCGCCACAATTTATATATATTTACATATTATTTAAACGTTATAAATATAATAAAAATTAGAAACGTAACTTAACTCAGCTGACATCTGAGTGTTCAGGATGAGTTTGGTATCAGAATCCACAATTATAGATGACTGATGGTTCCAGTAAGATTACTATCTTTCTATTGAAATAGCCAAGCGTAGAATATAAGTTTGGCTGCAGTCTGTAAATGTAGAAATTAGGTGATTTAGACTTCAGTTATCACTACCACAAACAATAGAAAACTAGAGGTGTGTGTATAGTAGTGTATTTGTTAGTAGATAGCAGTGTGTGTCATGCTATGTGTGACACGACGGAAGAAATTGTAATCCTGGTCATACACTTAAACAACACGTGCAATCGTTTAATGGTAAACGTACAGGCTATGAAAATTTAACAGAATAAATACAAATAACACCAAAAACTAGTTACAAAATAAGTTTTTCTTGCATATCTCCATACGTGTTAATGTGTTATCGAACTACAAATACTTGTGGTATCCTCCACAATGATAAGAAATATTTTCGAGTAGATACATTGTGTAACACAAGCTCGTCATAGATGTGTCGTTTATCGGTTCAAGCTTGTTTTTATCAACCACCGGATCGTTATTCAAGGTCTTATGTTGAAGCAACAAATCGGTTTTGTTGCTAAGTTACGGATTAGAAATCGTGATGACAGCGTTAGCCCTCATTGTCAACAAACAGCCTTAACGTGTAATGTCCAAAACACCAACAATGAAACATTTCAATGGAGTTAATGCCATCGAAACTACTGAAGTTTCGAATCTTGAACTATTTCTTGAGTTCAGTAATTGTGTTATGTCTAAAGATTTTCGACAAGCTATAAATCTTGCTAAGCAGATTCTTCAGTCTGAGCCAAACAACTCACAGATCCATGACTTTCTTCCATTATTAAACGAAGCGGATTACATGAAAACTGCTGGTGTTTTTCATTCTCTTACTGACGATTCAGATACAGAATCTGAGGAAGATGATGATGATAATAGCCATCTAAACACTTCAACGGATACAGACTCTTCTGATGATTTTGACTACACAAGTTCTGATTCTGACAGCTATCGGTGTCTTAAAAAATTACATGGTTCATAAAAATGGCATTTGTAGATTATTTTGATTACTGTCTAATTCAATAATTAAACTACCGTTTGATTGAAAACTGACGGTTTGTATTCTCTTTATTGCTCCACTTGCTGAATAAGCATGTCTGTATGGAGTCTTATGTCGTTTATTTTTATATATGAAACTGTTATTAGAATGTGAGTGCAATACATATTTACTGTAATATATGAATTATTTTAAGAAGTTAACGTGAAAAGTATTAGTATGCACTTATGCTCATAGATCTACAGCTGTTTCGGAAAATTTCGCTCCAAAAATTGTGACTTTCATATTAAGTCCTTTTCTGTATGTAATGAGCAGTTTTATATTTTTAATCTAAGTCATGTGTTAAAATTCGTTCTTCTGATGAAACGAGTCGCATTCTGCAACCGACCGTTCTTATTCTTTAACTCACTGAACCACTTAATCGCCAACGTTGCACCACGTTTCTGTAAACATTCAGTTCATTAATTCTCTTTACATATGGCGTTTACAAAATGTGAAGGATCATGCCTGTTCACTATTATGATAGATTATTAAATATAATTTTGCATGAAGCTTGAAGGATTATGTCGTTACCATAAAGTGTCCCGCATTCTTCATTTGCAATAACGACAAAACTGTCAGTAATATGTCTGATTTATTATTAACCTTTGTTTCTGATCAAAATGATCTGATTCTTTTGACACTATCACATTTTGGTCTTTATTTTAATCTTTCGGCTCCTTTTTACACCGTAAATTACTCAAATATTGTTGATCTGGAAGGCTTTGGATTGTTTTTTTACTATTTTTTGGCTTGCCAAAAACTTTATAAAATGTTTTAATTATTGTTGTATTGACCAAAAACCTTACGTAGTTGTTAATAATAATGGTGTGAACAGAGCTTGAATTTTTTTCGATATGGTTAGGTGACTCAAAAAGGGTTCCTAAAAAATAAGCATATTTTATCAACCTTTTTTCCTGAGACGTTTTTATCTATCCCCGAAAAAATTAGTCAGTTTTGGTCTATTCATTTTAGTCTTAGATGAGTGCTGAACCGTCTCTTAAAATTATCATCGGTTGAAAATGGTTGATTGGGGCGAAAGTACCTAAAATTCGTTCAAATGATCTGTATAATCCGAATAGTTGACATTCAAATGTCTCATAACGTTTTTTAAATAGGTGAGTAGCATTTTACTAGTCATCAGATGCATTATATTTCGTAACAGTGTAAACCTAAGCAGCATTTGTTCTTTGATGGAGCTATTTTGTAGAGAAGCCACTGAAAATTGCCTTATGTCGTTTTCCAATGTTTTATGATAAACAGTTCATATAATCAAGAACTTTTATAAATCGTTCGTATCGATGTGATGCTATGAACCAATGAAACTAAGTGAACTAAGCCAACGGGTGATTTAACTCTTCACCATCTTGACTAGGAAAATGAATCAATGTGTTAAATGGTTAAAAGTAATTGGAAGATGAATGAAAAATAATGATACAGAGCCCATTACAATAGAAAACTTATAAGTCTAGAAAAATATTCGTTTATTCAACGTGCTTAAAATTTAGGAGGTTGTCAGATGGAGTATATTCAAGGAGAACGAGCTCAATTATAGATGCGCCAAAATTGTCAAACGCTGAGATACAAAATGTTGCACTGTCTTTTATTTAACAATGACTTTCATTGCTAATTATAATAGGATACTTTTTGATCTCTGCACTCATGATATCTGGATTTTCATATATCCCTTATGAAATGTTTCGCGAGGTTACTTCTTGGAGAACTGGATAAATATACACATGAATCTTATATCCAAAACAACATATTTTCTGTTCTTTTCGAAATAAATCAATATCTAGTAAGTTATATGCACTACATCAATGTGCTTAATCATCATATCTAATTGTAGAAAATTAATTACATTCATTAACCCTTGTGATAGTTTTCATCAACATATACTTTATTTAAAAGATCTCATATCATCAACTCTGCATAACAATCTAGGACTAACAGTCAGGACTTACTTATCATCATATATACTTTGATCTTAAGATAGTAAACATGAAAGCAGTCTGACGGTAGTTTGACATATAATGAAACTTTACCCTGTTACGGGCTTAATACGGCATATTCTCACTCTAAAAGCGCCCTACTTTTCGATGGGTTTTTAGTAGCTTATGGACTAACATATCCCAGCCTTCAGCGTTTAGCAACAAAAAGTGTGACTTGGATGATGCAACCTGAAGAATAACTCATTACTTTAAGGCAACAGTCTAAACGTGTCATTATCCAGTAATCAAACGGTTTCCTTAAAGGACTCCTGCAATTTCGCCTCAATAAACCTCTAAATAAAGTATTCCTGTAGATTGTCTTGTCTATATATAAAGTTGCAAACACTTGAAAACAACTTTAAATTGTGGTGAGTAAACTGAAAGCAGTAACTTCATCTCTATTCATAGTCTATGGTAGCTAATAACATTGCTTTTAAGATATATAACAAGTTGTATCAACTACGTAACCGGTTTAATATGAATCGGTATTTTACATAATCTACTGTTAATAAACTAAGCCTTATCCAATAGTATCCTATCACTTCATATCAAACACTAGATTTGCGAGCAACGAAAATTAATTCGCAGAAAAGTCTATTGTGGAAGGCTGTTTTGACAGAATAATAATTTTCTTCCAATGACTCGGTAGTTTGGTACGATAGATCTTTTTATCACCATCGGAAATAAAAGCGATTTCTGACAATGTCCAAAGTGACTAAATGACTGAAATTTATGAGGTTCCTGGAAAAACTTATTTATTTGACAAGCATTAAGAACACCATGTAACCTAACCTGTTGTTCTATTTACCACACTTCATTTTATTTAGAGATGTTTTGTTTCATGGTATCCACCATCCAAAAAGTCTGTCTGTTTGGCCTTTAGAGAAAGGTTTTATGCTATTTGTCATGTAAATAATCCTACAAGCATTTTATTATTGATTTTTTGACTAGCGGCTAATGGTTTCCAATAAGCAATGACCCAAAACTGATATTAAAGTCGTAGGTTTTCTCGTACTTATTTTTCTATTTCAATTACTTAAGAATTGAATGACACCATTCCTCCGTTTTATCAATGAAACGTTTTCTGCAGCAATACATCTCTAAAGCACATTTTGTTTTGTACAAAAAGTACAACACAATGATATAGCATCATCATAACTGTCATCTATCTGACTAAAAGTTGTAAGTACTGGAATGAATGATCATTAAAATCCCCTACAATTTGTTGCGAATAGTCGATGGAAATTGACCTAGTAAAGTGGTTCTTCATTCTGTACTGATAAATGAATTAGAGGAGCCTTATGAGCTTACGTCTTTCCTTTAGTCTTTTTGTGCAGTATTCAATAACCTTATACGTCTCCTATCGGCTATTCCCAATTTTAACTCTGTCGTTTTGTTAACCTTTATTTTCTTAGTGCTATCCTTCTTTATAGAGATACATCACACAAATTTAACTGTTTTTCCAATATCTATGGCATTATAAATTTTCCTGATGATGATCCAAATATTTAGTAACACAGTTCTATCAGGAGAAACTTGGATATAAAATCATATTTTCAACTTCTTGCATACTTTTTATAATCCAGAAACTATAAAAATCTTGGTATAGTTTGCAGAGATGCATGGTTAATTTTTCTGGGTTCAGTTGATGTTGCTACATTAGTTTAGTAAATTACCATCATAGAATAAATATTATCCAAGTTTCACATTTTGAAAGTTGGTATTAGGATAATAAGATAAATTAGGAACACTTTAGACCATTATATGTGCATAACTATGCAATTGTTTCTATCGGATAACAGAATTATTCACGCATCTAAGTCCATGACATAAACAAAATTACCTTGCTTTAGTTAGGTGCTCATAGTATTTCATTGATAAATTGATATGTCAATAATCCCATTTTCCAGACAACCTCAGGGTGTACGCGTCGAAATTCACCTTTTCTGGCGCTTTTTGAAGCACAAAAACTAATTGTAGAGGTTATTCAGTCCTAGACAAGTTACAGCATAATATATAAGTTTACCAGTCTAAGTTCCCAAGCATCATTTCAGCGATGTGATTGAGGAAATAAACGATAGATGAAGTAGAAAGAAATACATTTATTGCAGCGAAAGGTTAAATATAAAATAATATAGTCCAAAAGTAGCAAATGAAATGCAAGAACAAAATCTTTGAAATGACAATGGGTTCAATATCCAGAGAAATATATTTAATGAATGCAACGGCATCACTTAGTGTGATTTTAAGTTGTGTTTACTTACTGATTTAAAAATGAAAATGACCGATCTCCAAAACCCATTTTACTGATTAATCAGAATATCTCTTCAAGTCACTAGCGTTAGAAAACGTGAAAAAGAAGCATTTCATTTTTATGTGTACTCAATAATAACTATTTCTTCACAGGTCATCTTTGAATAAGGCTGAATCATTTATTGTTTTAATAGTGCATTATTTAGTTAGTCTATATCTTTCAAAATGAAATACTTTTTTGTGATAGGTCTACTCAAATTATTTATTATTTAGTAATGGTAATGGTGAGCTTCAAAATTATCACCATTTGTTTGATGTTTTAGATAGTAGTATTACATAAGTTGTAGTCGGATAATAAAATGACCTGGAGGTACCGAACGGCCGTCTCGTCCTATTGTGAGACTCCTCAACAGTGCACATCTACGATCCTGCCCGCGTGAGTCGAACCCAAGACCTTCGGTCTTGCGCATGAAAGCTTAATCTCTAGACCACTGATCCTACATCCAACGATGTTAATGTGCTCACTGGTGACTAACTTCGGGAAGGAATTCTCAGAGTTCTAGTCGGAAGCCGTGACCAGTGAAGCTAATCCGTTTCAGGTAGAGACAGGTATCTACCTTAAACAATCAAAGATGGTCGCTCCATTTCCTGGATTGGTTGGAGTTGAAATTAACGCCGTTAGATACCAGCTCAGTGGTCTAG